GGACAGGTTGATTCACAAGTACTTCTTCAAAAGTTTATGTTCTCTGTTCCTAATAGAGTAACTAGATACTTCCGACCCCTTTGGTTACCAATTTCTAGGTCTAATTTAGCTGAACACGATCCATTTCGCGTTATTTGTAAAAATTATAACTCATTGTCCCATTTATTATCCCTTGAACTATCCCTAGATGTAATTAAATCCAAAATTATGGAATATCTTTTATCTTAATTTATCTTTACTTTTAGTTATAATAATCAAGATTCTAGAATAACAGATCATTGTTAATAATAAATAAATAAATAAATAAATACATAAGGTACATAAATAAAAATTTGTCAATCTTAAATAAAAGCTTAGTGTGACCAAACTATACAAAATTTGTATAGCTCGCTTCCTGATCGTTTATATGAAGTTATATCGAAAAACAGCGGATTCACTTAAAAGTAAGGAATAAATAATATTTTTTTGAAAAAAAACGTCTTAACATTTTAATTTTAATACAATTTAATAATTAAAGAAAAAAAATTATGTAAATCGAAAAATTTGTTTAGGAATTATAGATAAATTTATACAACTGAGATCATAAACCTATTCAGTTGAGCGGCAGTGTACGACTCCAAAAGACTTTCTACCCTTTAAAGAGTCGTAGACATCCACCTAAGATCTCTTAGCCCTTATATCCAAAGCCATGTCAACAAAAAGGGCAAATCATTGGAAGAGCACTATCTCACAAGAAATACGCCTTTTAAGACATAAAAATGGCCTTTTAAGACATAGAACGGGCTTTCAACAACGTTCTTCCGTACACCATGACTGGCGCCCTGACGTCTCTTGGTTTAGATGGACTTGGTGGGACTCATTGGTCAATTGCTAATCTGGAGGATAGTGATGTTTTTGATAGGCGCATCAACCTTTTCAAGGGCCGTCTGTAGAAACAAAGGAAACAAAAAACAGAGCTAGTTCTCTTCAGAATTAGAAGTTACATCTTTCCCCTCATCCCCAAAACCAATCAACCAGACGCTCTCTTTCAGCGAAACCTCAAGGTACCTAGGGGTGCTTTGCGCCCGTCACCCCTTACTAGGAAAGCCAACATAAAGTTAGGAAGGAAAAAGTTCTCAGAACCACTCCAAACGATGCCCTAAACGCCACACAATTCAGAACTAGCTGGTATGCAACAGGCGAAACTGGTGACAATTAGACTAAGAGAGACACATTAGTGGAATTTCATTAACACCGGACACTTTACTTTTCTACAAAACGGTCCCTAGTTCCCATCAGCATAGACTACTGTACTGTGCACCATCATTCCCAAAAGGGACGATGCCCAAGTCCCAAGGCAAAAAAAGGCAATAAGCCTCTACACCGATGGGTCAAAATAAGAAACAAAGTGGGAGGTACCAATACATTCTTGTGAGCATTTTTATACCCTTGCAGAGGGTATTTTTTTTTAAATTTTTTATTTATTTTTTTTTATTTTTATTTATTATTTTTGTTTTTATATATATACATTTTTCCTTTCCCCTTTTTCTATACCCTCCTTTTTATACCCTTGCAGACGGTATTATAATTTGGTCCAAAAATGTGCAACGCAGTGAAGGAGACATCTCCGACCCTATAAAGTATATATATTCTTGATCAGGATCACTTCCTGAGTTGATATGAGCATGTCCGTCTGTCCGTCTGTCTGTCTGTCTATTTTTACGCGAACTAGTCTCTCAGTTTTAAAGCTATCGTCTTGAAACTTTGCACACACCCTTCTTTCCTTTGCACGCAGTATATAAGTCGGAACGGCCGGGATCGGCCGACTATATCCTATAGCTGCCATATAACTGAACGATCGAAAATTTCATTAGGATCGGCCGACTATATCCTATAGCTGCCATATTACTGAACGATCGGAAATAGTATTTGGTAGAAATATCAACTTTCGCATATTTGAAGATAGAAGCTTGGGACTTTTTTTTAGATTTTTTATTTTAGTTAATTGGTTTTATTATGATATTCTCATAAGGATCGGCCAACTGCATCCGATGTTTGCGATATATATCCGGTTTTAACTGCAAGGCTATATTAACTTCGGCTCCGCCCAAAGTTAGCTTTCCTTTCTTGTTTTAACTCATGACGTTACACTAAAAAAAAATAATAGTAACATTCACAATGGACTAAAAAAGTATATATGTTATTATAATAGAAAATAAATTTTAAATATTTAAAAATTAAAAAAAAGGCCCTCTATTTTTTAGAACAGTGTATTATTATATGACAGAAATTGCATAGCTTTTTAATTTAAAAATGTTCTTCGAAAAAGAATTCATCGCATCAAGTCGACCAATCTGGCAGTAACAAAAACAAGAATTTATTTCATGCAGAGAAAAATTTTCGGCAATTTGAAATTGCATTTCAACACAATTCATTCGGATTAGAACTAATGAGGAAAATAGGGAAAAATCCAAAAACATTTTTTTTTTTTTTTCAATCTACGCTGAGACCCATAAATGGTTTATGACTTCCGTATGAATGAGTAAACCAACAACAAAGAAGGAAGGAACGAGAGCAATGAGAGAAGGCAACCTTGCATTTAATTCTCTTTTAGACTTCCTGATCACAGCAGCGTGATCTAAATTTGAGGTGATTGCTTATTTCATTTCCAGATCAAGTCTCGTATTTTTATACGCAAAGTCTCATTTTCCAAAGCACGCTCGAGTCGGGTATTCTGGCGCAGCTCCTCTCTTATTTTGACTATCTTGAAAGCCAAAACATTAGAATGTTTCAACTGAAAAAAAATTTTCATAAATTTGAACAATAGAAAATATATAAATAGGGAAGCGTACTTTTTTATTTGTTTTATAACTGTTTGATACTTTACGCACACACTTAAATGTTAAACATTTAAGTGAATTTTGCCCACCCCTGCTCTAAATATAGCCTTCAGGGCAGAAGTCTTTCTTAAGGGGTTATATACCTTTTTTATTTTCAAAAAATCGAAAATTTTCTTATTGCTTTATCTTTAAGAACAACTTCTTGAGAACATTTTCCCAAATTTTCATAGAGATTGGAGCAGTAGAACAAAAGTTACAGCGCTCCTAACCGCGCGCCTTGAACTGAACTTGAAATTTTAAACGCGAATATCTCGAAATGGTGTTTTTTGAAAAATGACTTTGCGGTGACATGGATTGGTGGAAAACTACTGAACCGATTTACTTCAAATTTTTTTTTAAATGTTCATAATGAAATTCTTCTGTGCTTGAATGATCGACTTTTCACGCACAAACTTTTTTTTCGCCGAAATGCATTTTTTAGTGAAATTTCTAGAGACCAAAAAGTTCATTTTTAGCATTAAACGTTCCCGTATGCATAAAAAAACAAAAAATTTGAAAACCGATCGTTCAAGCACAAGGAATTACACTAAACTAATGAAATTTTTTTACTTTTATGGTCTTAGTTGACCTGTTTGACCTGGGGAACCGCAAGGCTCTAAAAAAAAAAGCCCCTAAGGGAAACAGCCACCCCTTAAAAACTATTTAATATTTTTCCACGAAATTTTGCACAAACATTGTTAATAAAGTGTACTATCAAAAAATTAAAACATCCGTGTAATTAAATAATTGCTACATACCTAAAAAAAAATCCGAACTTTCCTCTTTTTCTTCGACAAAGAAGGTATATAACCCCTTAACATTTAAAACAAAATGTAAATACATATATATAATGCATTTTTTTTGTAATTTTGCTAAACGCAACATGAAAGGACGGCTATAGTCAAATTTCCCGACTATATTATACCTGGTGCTCATCTCATCCACATAGGAGTTAATTTGTAAGTTAGAGGATAATTTTTAGAGGAGTTAAATGTTGAATGCCTAGAAAACTGTAAAGATTTGTATCAAATATCGAATTGGCATAACTTCCAAATTCAGTAGTAGCAGAGGGCCGGCAGAATTGGTTCGCCTTCTTTGTTTAGGTATAATTTCATGTTTTGTTTCTGTTTTTCAAACAAAATACGAAGTACGTTCCTTAAGTAAAGCATAGTACTGTGACGACGAAAATCCGATTTCGCACGAGTGACAGCTAACAAACTCCATATAAAAAAAAACGGTGTAAAAAAAGGATGAAGAAAAAATTTTTGTCTCCTAGATTTTTCCGGTACTCTGACGACGAAAATTTTAGCTATCGAATTGAATGGCGTTGCCGGATCAAAAAAAATAAACAGCTGATTTTGGGGTGTTGAAATAATTAATTTTATTTATTTCGATAGCTAAAACATGGAGGGAAAATTGATAAAAGGAAAAAATAGTCGGCCCGAAAAATTTTCGGCGCGCGAGAATAAATTGAAATTTATTAGTGCGGTCAGGGCGAAGCCCCTAATATAGGATTTGACCAGCAAGGGGCATTTTAATGCCATAAAATGGCGTAAAATGGCCATCAAATGGCATTGAAATGATTTTTGATTGATTTTGATTTTGACCCAGTTTTCTTTTTCTTAATCAGCTCCTTAGCGTCGAAATACATAAAGAAAACACCAAAATCCAATCGGTTTGAATTCATTTTTGCTCATTTGTTTTTTGTTTACAAACAACAGCTGTTCAGTATTACCCTTTTCCTTAATTTTTTTTGGTCACACTTGCTCGGTAGCTGAATAAAGTGCGATTTCGCTAGCGGATTTTCGTCGTCACAGTACTATGCTTAAAGGTAAAGGTAGCGAAATGAATTTCGGTACTGCAGGGTCCTTAATTCTTATTGCAATCACGACTGATACAAGCCTGAAAGTCAAATTCAAGGCCGAGGGGACATTTTTCAGGCCTGATTCAAGGAAAAGGGATTTTCGTCGTCAGAGTACTAGGCTTTATCACCGGGGCCCAGCGGAGATTCATGCTAGAGTGGTACCGACTGGAACTTGTCGATTTTTTCAAATTACAAAACCAACCTTGTTAAAAAAAATACATAAATTTTCTTTTATCGATTTTCTATACATATGTACATTGTTTTTATTAACTATTTACCTGGACCATAAAACCGTTTTCCTTTACTGACATCGTATACATTTCCGTTAACCGCCACCAGTACACGACCATCCGGTTGATTTCCATCAAATTGGCGCAACTCTTTTATAGTAAAATCCCGGCGTAATTTAGGCAATTGAAGTTCTTTAGTTTTCGGCAAAATAGCGCTCGGTACTTCAGTGCGATCACGAACAATTTTATACACCAAAAAACATATTATCGCTAGAAGAGTTATATTCATGGGACTGGATAAAATTTCACTCAATAAATTTGAAATGATTGAAGATTCGCCATCCTTGGAAACAGAGTCATCACTTATTTTGGGATCCATCTTTTCATAAGTAAAAATTTTAATCGTAATTTTCTATTAGAACTTTTAGGTTATTTCTACTTTGACCTACATTCATTCATACATATGTATGTTTGTTTTATTAATCTTATCTGTAAACTATGTAAGCATAAGTAAATATTTGCATATGTGTATATGTACATACGTTTACGCAAATATACATATGTAAGTATGTATAAATATACATTCGTGCATATATTGGGTTAATAGACTTAGAATGTTTTGAACCAGAGGTCGGCACGGCCCTATGTCGGGGGCATAGGAAATTTCTCTGCCCGAGCTCTGCCACACACACACAGTATAAATGTGTGAAACGTCATGCTCATAGCCTACTTTCTGCTATTCGTTACTAACACTAATGCGGTAAAATCATATCAATGTTTTGGGGTGCCGACCACTGTTTTGAACTATTTTTTTATTATTATAATTACATATATACATTCAATCGCAAATATGACATGCTACATACATACATATGTAGCTGTGATAAGCAAAAATATGACCTTTTATTTATATGAAATTTTCAACGACTATTTTCAGTTTTCACGCCAAATAACAGCCCAATAAAAAAATCCTTAGTTTTTACAAATTGTATTGCGATCTGACTGTTCCGAGCAACTTCCGATAAATAATATATGTCCGTCAAACTATCGTCGCTCAGTTAGCGTCGAAGTGGAACGGTGGAATCGGAACACAGCAACGAACTTTTTGTTTTTCAATTCTTTCCGTATTTAGCCACTAAATAATCAAATAAACACTAGAATTGTTAAGAATTGAATAAACTATTGTTTTTTACTTACTTTAAGCGGGTTCTACACTCTTTACAAAGCTTAAAAATGGGCTTAAAAAAATTGCCCCTTCACTGTATTGAGCCTTAAGCATAGTACTGAGTTGACGAAAATCCGCTGTTGAAAATCCGATAGCGATATTGCACTTTATTCAGCTACCGAGGTAGTGTGACCAAAAAAATTAAGAAATAAGGTAATACTGAACAGCTGTTGTTTGTAAACAAAAAACCAATAAGCAAAAAGGAATTCAAATCAATTGGATGTTGGTGTTTTGTTTATGTATTTTGCCGCTAAGGAGCTGATTAAGAAATAGAAAACTGGGTCAAAATCAAAATCAATCACAAATCATTTCAATGCCATTTTATGGAATTAAAATGCCCCTTGTGGGTCAAATCCCATATTATGGGCTTCGCCTTGACCGCAGAAATTAATTTTAATTTGTCCTGGCGCGTCGAAAATTTTTCGGGCCGACTATTTTTTTGTTTGATCAATTGACCCTCCATGTCACACCTATAGAAATAAATGAAAATATTTCTTTTAACTCCCCGAGATCAGCTGTTTATTTTTTTTGATCCGGCAACACCATTAAAATCGATAAAAAAAATTTTCGTCAACTCAGTACCCGCAAAATCTAGAAGGCAAAAATTTCTTCCTCTTCCCTTTTTTACACCGTTTTTTTATATGGAGTTTGACAGGAGTTTGACAGTACTATGCTTTTTCTTAGAAATAAGAGGATGCGCCAATAAGCACGATACTACAGCTTATAGCCCATTATTTTGAGAATATGCACTGAAAAGGTCATTAAAATCTCTCCCTACGTTTTGAAGCAAATCGAATAAAAGTGGACCAACCCGTCTAACAGCCCATACAAAAATGACCCCAAAAAATTGTTTTTAAAATTGTGAAGCTCTAAGAGGATGTGCCCACATTCACGGTAGTGGAGTCGATCTAGGACCTTTACAAGTATGTATGAAGAAAAAATCATACAAATCGCTCCCACAGATTTTGAGAAAAACGAATTACAGTTCCGGGAACTGTGGAAATGAGTTCCCCATATAATTTAACTAATAAGAAGAGCGCCAACTAGTGAACCGGAACCAGTCCGCAAAAAGTTCATTGAACTAGTTTAAAAATACTATATGGCCTCTGTTAGGCTTATTAAGTCCTTCACAGAGGATGCGCCAAATTGCACGGTATACCGCTGAAAAGATTAATTTATTCAGAATATTATAAGACTATTTTTATTAAAATCGCTCCCACAAATTTTAAGAAATCAAGTCCCGAAATTTTCGGACCCTGATTCGCCAATACAGGCAATTATTATTTTCCCGAGTTGTTTTTACAGAGGATGTGCCATTATGCACGGTATACCACGAGAAAACTAATTTTTAACCCATTCGAATGGTTCCAGTCCCATTAAAATCGTTCCCACAGATTTTGAGAAATCAAGTCCCGAAATTTTCAGACCCTGATTCGCCAATACTGGCCATTATCCATTATCGCCAATACTGGGACTAGTATCAGTCCCATTAAAATCGCTCACACAGATTTTGACAAATCAAGTTCCGAAATTTTCCGAACCTGATTCGGCAATACTGGCCATTATCATTTTCCCGAGTTGTGACGCTGCCAAACACGGCAGCCGCCATTATGAATGTTTACTTTTTTACAGGGGATGCGCTATTATGCACGGTATACCACGAGAAAGCTAATTTTTAACCCATTCGAATGGTACCATGGATTTGAGATGGATTTTGAGAAATCAAGTCCCGAAATTTTCGGACCCTGATTCGCCAATACTGGCCATTATTATTTTCCCCGAGTTTTGACGCTGCCTAACACGGCAGCCGCCATTATTAATGTTTACCTTTTTGTACAGAGGATAAAGCTTATTTTATTCAGAACATTATAAGACTATTTTTATTTAAATCGCTTCCCGAAAATTTCAGACCCTGATTCACCAACACTGGCCATTAACAGCATCACATATTTCTGCGCTGCCTAACACGGCGCCCGCTATTATGGAACTTGATTGCCCACCCTAGCTTTTTTTTACAAAAGATGCGCCAATACTGGCTATTATCATTTTCCCGAAATTTGACGCTGCCCAAAACGGCAGCCGCCATTATGAATGTATGAAGAAAAGGTAAACATTCATAATGGCGGCTGCCGTGTTGGGCAGCGTCAAAACTCGGGAAAATGATAATGGCCACTATTGCAGAATCAGGGTCCGAAAATTTCGGGACTTGTATTCTCAAAATCTGTGGGAGCGATTTGAATGGGACTGGTACCATTCGAATGGGTTAAAAATCAGCTTTCTCGTGGTATACCGTGAATAATAGCGCATCCCCTGTAAAAACAGGTGTTGGGCAGCGTTAAAGCCCGGGAAAATTATAATGGCCAGTATTGGCGAATCAGGGCCAGAAAATTTGGGGACTTGATTTCAATGGGACTGGTACCATTCGAATGGGTTAAAAATAAGCTTTCTCGTGGCATACCGTGAATAATAGCGCATCCCCTGTAAAAAAAGGTGTTGGGCAGCGTCAAAACTCGGGAAAATGATAATGGCCAGTATTGGGGAATCAGGGTCCGAAAATTTCGGGACTTGAATTCTCAAAATCTGTGGGAGCGATTTTAATGGGACTGGTACCATTCGAATGGGTTAAAAATAAGCTTTCTCGTGGCATACCGTGAATAATAGCGCATCCCCTGTAAAAAAAGGTGTTGGGCAGCGTCAAAACTCGGGAAAATTATAATGGCCCGTATTGGCGAATCAGGGTCCGAAAATTTCGGGACTTAATTTTAATGGGACTTGTACCATTCGAATGGGTTAAAAATTAGCTTTCTCGTGGTATACCGTGCATAATGGCGCATCCTTCTTAAAAAAGGGTAAACATTCATAATGGCGGCCGGCGTGTTGGGCAGCGTCAAAACTCGGGAAAATGATAATGGACAGTATTGGCGAATCAGGGTCCGAAAATTTCGGGACTTGATTTTAATGGGACTGCTACCATCCGAATGGGTTAAAAATGAGCATTCTCGTGGTATACCGTGCAAAATGGCGCATCCTTTTTAAAAAAAAGGTAAACATTCATAATGGCGGCCGCCGTGTTGGGCAGCGTCAAAACTCGGAAAAATTATAATGGCCAGTATTGGCGAATCAGGGTCCGAAAACTTCGGGACTTGATTTTAATGGGACTGGTACCATTTGAATGGGTTAAAAATAAGCTTTCTCGTGGTATACCGTGAATAATAGCGCATCCCCTGTAAAAAAAGGTGTGGGGCAGCGTCCAAACTCAGGGTCCGAACATTTCGGAACTTGATTTCTCAAAATCTGTGGGATCGCAATACCGTGCATAATGGCGCCTCTTTTGTAAAAGAAGCTAGGGTAGGCATTCAAGTTCCATAATAGCGGGCGCCGTGTTAGGCAGCGCAGAAATATGTGATGCTGTTAATGGCCAGTGGTGGTGAATCAAGGTCTGAAACATTCATAATGGCGGCTGCCGTGTTGGGCAGCGTCAAAACTCGGGAAAATGATAATGGCCACTATTGCAGAATCAGGGTCCGAAAATTTCGGGTCTTGTATTCTCAAAATCTGTGGGAGCGATTTGAATGGGACTGGTACCATTCGAATGGGTTAAAAAGCTGTTTATTTTTTTTAATCCGGCAACACCATTAAAATCGATAAAAAAAATTTTCGTCAGCTCAGTACCCGCAAAATCTAGAAGGCAAAAATTTCTTCCTCTTCCCTTTTTTACACCGTTTTTTTTATATGGAGTTTGACAGTTTGACAGGAGTTTGACAGTACTATGCTTTTTCTTAGAAATAAGAGGATGCGCCAATAAGCACGATACTACAGCTTATAGCCCATCATTTTGAGAATATGCACTGAAAAGGTCATTAAAATCTCTCCCTACGTTTTGAAGCAAATCGAATAAAAGTGGACCAACCCGTCTAACAGCCCATACAAAAATGACCCCAAAAAATTGTTTTTAAAATTGTGAAGCTCTAAGAGGATGTGCCCACATTCACGGTATGTATGAAGAAAAAACCATACAAATCGCTCCCACAGATTTTGAGAAAAACGAATTACAGTTCCGGGAACTGTGGAAATGAGTTCCCCATATAATTTAACTAATAAGAAGAGCGCCAACTAGTGAACCGGAACCAGTCCGCAAAAAGTTCATTGAACTAGTTTAAAAATACTATATGGCCTCTGTTAGGCTTATTAAGTCCTTCACAGAGGATGCGCCAAATTGCACGGTATACCGCTGAAAAGATTAATTTATTCAGAATATTATAAGACTATTTTTATTAAAATCGCTCCCACAAATTTTAAGAAATCAAGTCCCGAAATTTTCGGACCCTGATTCGCCAATACAGGCAATTATTATTTTCCCGAGTTGTTTTTACAGAGGATGTGCCATTATGCACGGTATACCACGAGAAAACTAATTTTTAACCCATTCGAATGGTTCCAGTCCCATTAAAATCGTTCCCACAGATTTTGAGAAATCAAGTCCCGAAATTTTCAGACCCTGATTCGCCAATACTGGCCATTATCCATTATCGCCAATACTGGGACTAGTATCAGTCCCATTAAAATCGCTCACACAGATTTTGACAAATCAAGTTCCGAAATTTTCCGAACCTGATTCGGCAATACTGGCCATTATCATTTTCCCGAGTTGTGACGCTGCCAAACACGGCAGCCGCCATTATGAATGTTTACTTTTTTTACAGGGGATGCGCTATTATGCACGGTATACCACGAGAAAGCTAATTTTTAACCCATTCGAATGGTACCATGGATTTGAGATGGATTTTGAG